AAGCTGATCGATTGGCCGGTGTATTTGATGATGAGGAGGAGGAGGCGGAGGAGGAGGAGGGAGGATCCAGATCAAGACGGCCGTCGGGCTGAGGGCGCCTCGAGGCAGGAGCGCCCAGACGGCCGAGGGGGCTCCCGAGACCGCTCCACGACGGCCTCGCGCCTCGACGGCCGCAGGGGCCCACGAGAGCGGCCCAAGACGGCACCGATCGGCGGCGCGCACAAGGGGCTGGCGGAGGGGGAGGGCTTCTCAGAAGCACCCCTGCTTCGTAGAAGGCGCCGCGCTTGCGTCTACAGAGAAGGCCCGCGCCCTCCACGAAGCAGGGGTGTTTCCAAGAAGCCCGCCCCCCTCCCCCTGACCCCCCTCTGCGCGTGGATGAACCGAGCCTCCACAGGGCCCCGAAGAGAGCACCAAGACAGGCCAAAGACAAGGACCATGGGCTGGACACATTTCTCCTCCTCGCCCCCCCTCCTCTCCCCGGCCCTCCCCTGACCCCCTCGCCTCCCGCCTCCTCCTCCGCGGAGCCCTGCTGCCTACCCTCGCGCAGCACCCCGGCAGACGGTGTTTCGCAACCGAAGCCCGGCATCGTCTTCCATAATTGTTCCTTGCACATGCTCATTCTCGCATGTGTCTTGCCTTGTTCATGGCTTTGCCAGTGCGCCGTCTAGGTTGAACTCTGAGTGCCCCCGAGACCGCCAGCAAGCTCCCAGGAGTCCGCCTGTAAAGGCTCCCGAGAAGCCTCAACTGGCCGAAAGAAACTCCAAAAGAGCATTTTGCAAGCCCCCGGGAGGTCCCGCAAGAGAGCCCGAGAGAAGCGACCCTGGCACGGTTGCGGGAGGGGCCGACCGCCACTATGAAATGGCGCCAGATGCACGCCTGCAAATGTCTACACTTGAGCCAGAATGCTGGCTACGTAGGCAAAGCCATGCGATCATGACAACCAAGATGTTTACATACGTGTACGGTTCACCGGAAGCCCCCGCCACCGCCGTTTGAACGAGGACGATGCTTCTGCGCGTGCCCTGAGCATCGTTTGCTGGATCTTCAGACGCAGCGGGAGTCATCGCACAACAACGTCGCCGCGACCAGGGCCAACGACTCATGACCACGTCTCTGGAGGTTCAGGTCTCCGGAGGCACTGAGGGCAGCGCCAAATCTTTGAGGCGAGCGCAGGGGGAAAGTGAGAAGGGGCGGGCCTTCTCAGAAGGCTCAGAAGTCCCCCGTCCTTCTGAGAAGCTCCCTGAGTCTTCCCCGAAGACACAGACAATTTCTCAGAGGGTGCGAGGGCTTCTGAGAAGTCCCGCCGCCTTCTGACAAGGCCTTCTTCTTCTAACTTCCCCCCTGGCTCGCCGACGAAAATCCCCTCCCCCAACCACCCCGCATACCCCCCTCTCCCTCCCCACGAAGCGAAAAAGGCCAGGCACAGGCTCGAGGCCAGAGGGGCTCGGCAGAGCCCGGTCACGTCTGGAGTGATGTCGCTCCCGTCGTGCTTAAGGACCACATCCCAGAAATCCGCCGGCCCCCCTGTGGGGCCACCAGGCTGTAGGCCGGAGGTTCTCAGTTTCCTGTACCAGTTGCAGCTTCCAGTTTCCACTGTTACAGCTCTGCTTCTTGCTGCTTACTGTTCCTTGTTACAGTTATGCTTCTTGCTGCTTACTGTTCCTTGTTGATGGACCGCGCGAGCGGGGGAGGCCCAAAACGGACAATTCTACGACGCCCAAATCGTATTGTCTGAATTGCGGTGGGTAAAAAATAATACCCCTCACGCAAATCGGCGGGGGCAGGGTCCAAAAACATATTGGATTTGCAATATTTCTGCAATTTCCTTACACCCCTCACACAGATCGGGGGGATCAGGGTCAAAAAACACAAGGGATTTCCCACATTTCTGAAATTCGGTGGCACCCCTCACGCAGATCGGCGAGGTCAGGGTCCAAAAACACATAGGATTTGACACATTTCTTAAATTCGGTGGCACCCCTCACGCAAATCGGCGGGGTCAGGGTCCAAAAACACAAAGGATTTGTAACATTTCTGAAATTCGGTGGCACCCCTCACGCAGATCCGCAGGGTCAGGGTCCAAAAACATATTGGATTTGTCACATGTTTGAAATTCGGTGGCACCCCTCACGCAGATCGGCGGGGTCAGGGTCCAAAAACACAAAAGATTTGCAACATTTCTGAAATCCGGCGGCACCCCTCACGCAGATCCGCAGGGTCAGGGTCCAAAAACATATGGGATTTGCAGTATTTCTGAAATTCGCCGGCCCAACGGGCCAAGGGCGATGTCCTGTAACTGGTTAACAATACGGGGCGGCCCCTGGGGGTCTCCGGGCGAAAAATACCCCCAGGTCAGAGATGCCGGACCGGGCCATTTTTCCGACACCCCTCACGAGGATCGTGGCCTCCGAGGGGGGCCGCAATCGACTACCCCCCCATCCCGCCCCAAGGGGCCCCCAAGAGCCCCCCAAGAGGCCCTCATGGGAGCCCCCAAGACGCCGCCAAGGAGCCCCAAGAGACACCCAAGAGGTCCCCAAGAGGCCTCCAAGAGGCCCTAAAGAGGGCTCCAGGGCCGTCGGAATGAGCGAAGCGATTAAATATTCGGCGGCCCCCCTCACGCAGATCCGCAGGGTCAGGGTCCAAAAACATAAGGGATTTGCCACATTTCTGAAAGTCGGCGGCACCCCTCACGCAGATCCGTAGGGTCATGGTCGGAAAACGAACAGGTCCTGGCACTGCTTCACGGCGAAGCCAAAGCCTCATGACTTTGCTCTTTCATGGCTCATTCTCCGAGAGAGGAGGCCGGCGGCAGGGGGCGAAGCCCTTACGGATAATTTCGAGCACCCGGAAAAGTGCAGAACCAATGTCGAACGAGTATCGCCTCCCAAGGCCCGACAGGTGAGAACCCTCAAGTTCCGACATGTTCTCGGTGCTCGAAGCTCTCGCTGGTGGCCCAGGCTAAAGGAGGTTGGAACGTCACAAGTCTGGCAGGAGAACCCAAAACCGAATCGACGAGACGGATCGGCGACCGAAACGGATCGGCTCGGCGGAAAACCGGCAGCCAAATCGGGAGAGGTCGAACCGGCAGAGCTCGGCAGGCCGGGAGGGCTCCACGGAGGCGGAGGCATCGCCAGCCACATAGGGAGCCGGAGCCGTACCGAAGCGGAATCGGAGGCCATGAAAATCGAATCGGATCGAAAGAATCGAGACGACCCTGAAGATCGAATCGGAATCGGAATCGAATCGGAATCGGAACCGGAATCGGATCGGAATCGGAGGCCATGAAAATCGAAACGGATCGAAAGAACCGAGACGACCCTGAAATCGAATCGATCGGACTCGGAGGCCATGAAGATCGAATCGGTCTGTTGAGCAGGGGCCGACCGTCCCGGCATTCCTATAGTCCTACCACGAAGTGTGCTCAAACCCAACAGATGTTCTAAGAACAAAAACAACGTTCTTAGAACATAGACCCGATGTGTTGAAACAAGACAGACTCCGCCAGAGATGTTATAATAAAATTTCGTGGAACCCAAAACAAGTTGTTATAACATTGCTTGGTAGGGCTATAGGCGAGCCAGGATGCTTCGCCACTGCTTGAGTCTGGCGGCTCCAACAAATTCAAGCCGTATTCGGTGCCCGTGGGCCGCTGAGGGACACCCCGAGCGGCCGCGGCGCATGTCGGCCCCCCATCGACGGGCAGAGCCCCCCCATCCCCCCCTGGAGGGTTTCCCCGAAGACATTAGGCTTAGGCGACCCATCCTCCTCCTCCATCCTCCTCCATCCTCCTCTTCCTCCTCCTCCTCCTCCTCCTCCTCCTGCTCCTCCTCCTCCTCCTCATCCTCCTCCTCCTCCTTCATGTCCTCCTCCTCTTCCCCCCTCCTCCTCCTCCAACTCTTCCTCCTCCTCCTCCTCCTCCCTCTCCTCCTCCTCCTCCTCCTCCCCTCCTCCTCTTCCTCCTCCTCCTCCTCCTCCTCCTCCCCCTCCTCCTCCTCTTCCTCCTCCTCCTCCTCCTCCACGTGCACCCCCTCCCCCCGGTGTCGGGCATGTTCATTTCCCCTGGCATGCCCAAGCCGCAGCAGGAGAACATGCGGACGATGCCCACTACGCAAACGTGGTTCTACGTCGACAGCGGTCGCGGCTGCACGCCACGAACACACAGATAAATGTGTTTATGCACACCCACTTGTATATGTATATGTATATATATATATAACATATACCCACACGCACCCTCCGACAAATGTTGCATGTACCTTCTGGGAGGGTAGCGTTGTGTACACACACATGTACACATACAAATATACATTTATATATATATATATATATACTAGAACCATCGCGCGCGCTTCGCGCGCGCTCAGGTTCAGGCAGGCCCTAGACCTTGACGAATTCATTGCTCCACTGAAGAAGTGGACCACAGTCCACGCATGCCAATCTGCATTCCGAAAGGCCATCGAGGAAAATGGTTGTGTAGGGGGGCGGAGGCCGTATGAATCGGGTTCTCAGAAAGCCTTCTGGGAGCATGGGTTTGGGGGCGTCTTGGGGAGCCTGTTGGGGCGCGCCGTCGTCGTCGTCGTCGTCGTCGTCGTCGTCGTCGTCGTCGTCGTCGTCGTCGTCGTCGTCGTCGTCGTCGTCGTCGTCGTCGTCGTCATCGCCGTCGTTTCGTCGTCGTCGTCGGTTCAACAGGGCACTTGGGGCAACTTTGTGCGAAACGATCTGCGTGCGTAGGGCCGCGAGAAGGCGATCAGTCATGTTCCCAATCAACTTCGCAGACAGCTCTCCTCTAGCATGATGGTACTTCGAAGCCTCCGGAGACTCGCGGGCTCATGATGAACCATGTCCCCGGAAGGCTGTCTGGGGACATGGTTTGTTGGGGTATGTTGGGGGGTCTCTTGGGCGTTCCCTGGGGGGCCTCCGAGAACTCTCGGGCCAATGATGAACCATGTCCCCAGAAGGTTTTATGGGGACATGATTTATTGGGGTGTGTTGGGAGGCCTTTTTTTGTTTGCTCTTCGATTGTTCGCGGCGATTGCTGTAGGCTTCGGTTTCTGTATACGGCCCTCAGCATGTATCGGCCTGTGCGTCACACGCACGACGAATCAGAGCTGACATCTCCAATGTCAAGTATACCAATCCAAGATACAAGCGCACGTGAAAAGAAACCACCGACTTTCCAACTGATGGAAAGAGATCCCTGTCAGCGCTATAAAAAAATGTGGACCGAGCCATGTCTGTATCCCAAGGATGCCTGGACATTAATTTTGGCGCGTATTCGCAGAGCCGAGCATCTGGACGGACGCGTGGGCAATCAAAAGGAGGACGCGAAGCTGTCAACACTGCTGAACATTGTGCAGATTCAGTGCGGCAGCTGCAGGGCATGGCTGTGTAGGCTTCGATCTCTGCATGCATATCACCTACAAAAGCCAACCTCCTCGAAACATGCACGACAATAGATGACTTCGATTGCGCCAACTGAGATGGAATGATGATACAGCCATAGAAAAAATATGCCACGCGCTGAATTTTCGGTGGCAACTCATGGGAGCTTCCCATACCATTTGGCCGGCCTTGGCGAATCGATGAACGACCGCACGAATTGCACAGACCCGACTCCCCCCACCCGCCGGCACTCCCCCCGTCGCCCCCGCTTGCGAGAAATCAGATCCTCCCGTGGAGGGTACACCACGCCGCGTCAGACAGCGGGCCAAACACTCCTCCGTGCCGACCGTGCCGACCCCTGGCCCGTGGAGCTCCCGGCGGGCGTGTGCTGCCCGAGCGGGGCCCGAGCGCCCTGCGCATGCTGCGTTGGGCATTGACTCGCGATTGGTGCGGGGGTGAATCCGCCGTGACACAACGGCCCTGGGCCATACGCACATGGAGTGTGGAGGAAAATCTCTCCGTCGTCAGCTCACTAGAACAATGACTGGCAAATCGCCTTGAGACAATGTGCAGCACCGAGCTCAGGGGACCACGCAGCAGAGGAGGAGGGAGAAGGGCGTAGGAATTGTAACACGAACTGGCATCTGGGAGAGGGACTCCGTCACGTTACAAGAGTACACCGATTAATTCTGCACGACAGCCGGCAGGACCTGCACAACGGCCTGTCCAATGCTCCTCCTCCTCCTCCACCTCCTCCACCCCCCTCCTCCCCCTCCTCCTCTGACGAGGGCCAGTCCCCAGCGGCATTGGCCACGTTCATCGGCCCGTCGGCCGGACCAGGCCGTCTCTCAGCAGTGCGCGGTGATCAGGCCGTCTCTCAACGGTGCGCTGGCCACTGGGGGCCCCGCCGCGAACTCCCCTCCCAGGCCTGGGCCTCTCAGGCGCCAGACGAGCGCGGGAGCCTGCTGCCCCTCGCCGACATCGACCTCCCGGCGCAGCCAGGGCGGGCCCCGCCAGGCACCTCCCCTCGCGGGCGCGTGGGCGGGGCCGTCTGACTCAGGCCGAAGGGGCTCGCCGTCGAAGTCGCCGAGGTCGGCCGGGCCTGCCGTCGCCGAGAGGGGGGCCGCTCGTCCTCGCGGGCGTTCGCGCTGGTCCGACGGAGCCTGGTGCCCGCCTCGCCAGGACTCGGGGACCGCTCGGAGAAGTCGGAGGTCGACTCCGTGTCGCTCGTCTGGCCGCTCGTTGCCGCGCTGGCGGCGGGCTCCATTTTGGGCAGCTCGGGCGCCGTGAACGCCTCGGCCACGCGCCGGCCCGACGTGCTGTTGCCGGGGCGGGGCCCGGAGACCCCCATGACGAGCCTCTGCAGCTCGGGGAGGTCGTCAATAGTCCACGGAGCCAGGGGCTCAGGGAGCTTGAGCCCAACGGGCCTGCGAACCCTGAGGGGGCCGAGAGCGTCAAAGCGCGGCAGGGCGTCCCCACGGCCGGCGGACGGCCTGCCCAGAACGGCGCACTGGAGCGCCCTTGCCGCCGCGCAGGGGTCCCCGCGAGGAATCGAAGGTTGCCTCGGCCTCGGCGCGGCCGTCGGGCTGGTCACCTCCACCCACGCCAACGCCGGCCTTGGTCTCCTGAGCTGCTCGCCGATGGCCGGGAGCCGGATGCGCGCGGGACTCGCCATCTTTCAGAGCTCTCGGGAGGCGGGGGTCTTCTTATGCAGCGCAGGGTGCTTTGCCCCTCGAGCTCGAGCTCGAGCCAAAACGTCTTGAGCCAAAATGGCTACGGGGTGTGTGAGAGGGCCTCTTGGGCGTTCCCTGGGAGCCCCTTGGGGGTCTCTTGGAGCTTCCTGGGGGCCTCTTGGGCGCCTCACGGGGCTTCGTGGGGGCCTTGGTGGCCTCCGGGGCCTACAGGCGGCCTCTAGGGCCAGAGACCTCGAAATATCAGTTGGCGGTCCCCCTCTGGGCCCTCTCTTGGGGAGCTCTTGGGGCACAGTTGAGTTGTCTGGGGAGCCTCCTGGGCCGTCTTGGGGCCCTCTTCCGGGCCTCGTGGCCCGTCTTGGAGCGATCTGAAAGGCCTCCGAGCGAGGCAGTGAGGGAGCGCTGGGAAGCGGGGGAAGCGAGAACGCCTAAATCCTTCAAAAACCATCGGACAATTAGTGGATCTTGCCTCCCAGGGCCCTCTTGGGGAGCCTCTTGAGTCCGTCCTGGAGCGTGTTGGAGTCCTCCTCGGCCGTCTTGAGGGCATCTTGGGCGTCTTTGGGGCCTCTTGGGACCGTCTAGGGGTTGTCTGGGGAGCATCCTGGGCCGTCTTGGGGCCCTCTTCCAGGCCTCGTGGGCCTTCGTGGAGCGATCTGAAGGGCCTCCGAGGCCGTGGGGGAGCGCTGGAAAGGAATATAGAAATGTAAGGCATGGCAACGTTTCAAAGACACTTGAGCGGGCGACGGGCAAATGCAATGCTGAATGTATCGATCTTGCTGTACTGTGCCGAGGGCTGTGTTGTGCTACGCCGTACTGAACTGCGATGTGCTATACCGCGATTGTGATCTACATAGCGTTGTGGATCGAGTCCTCCCTGGCATCCGAGTCCTGACCGAACTGAACTGGATCTTGAGCTCGAGCTGCCTCAGCAGATGGTAGCTGCCCCAGAGCTAATCGACAGAAGGGACATGCCAGGAGGACGCGCCGCGGAACGTCCCAAGGGACGCGCCAGGCGACGTGCCAGGGGACGTGCCATGGGCACGCACCGCGGGACGTGCCAAGAGGGCGCGCTACGGAGCCTGCCAATGGACGTGCCGCGGGACGTGCCAGGGGACGCGCCGAGCGACGTGCCAGGTGGACTCGCCTCGGAACGCGCCAAGGAGCGTGCCAAGGTGCAATGTTCAGTGTATCGATCTTGATGTAGCGTGCCGAAGGCTGTGCTGTGCTGGGCCGCGCTGAACTGCGATGTGCCATGCCGCGATTGTGCTCTATATATATATATATATATATATATGTATATATAGCGTTGTGGATCGAGTCCTCTTTGCCACCGAGTCCTGACCGAACTGATCTGGATCTTAAGCTCAAACTGCCTGAGCAGATGGTAGCTGCCCCAGAACTAATCGACAGGGGGACATGCCAGGAGGACGCGCCGCGGAACGTCCCAAGGGACGCGCCAAGCGACGTGCCAGGGGACGTGCCATGGGCACGCACCGCTGGACGTGCCAAGGGGACGCGCTACGGAACGTGCCAATGGACGTGCACCGCGCGACGTGCCAGGTGGACTCGCCACGGGACGCTCCGCGGAACGTGCCAGGCAACATGCCAGGCTGCAGTGTTAAGGGTATCGATATTGATGTACTGTGCCGAGGGCTGTGCTGTGCCTGGGCGACCTGCACACGTGAAAACACGCGTTTCGCTCAAGACGTTCTCAGCACATCCTCATGCTAGACATCCACCTGGGCGACCTGGACACGTGAAAACAAGCGTCTCGATCGAGACTTCGTGAACACAAGTCTCTCGTTCGAGACAGCCTCAACAAACCCTCATGCTAGACATCTGTCTGGGCAACCTGGAGGCGTGAAACCAAGCGTCTCGCTCGAGACGTCCTCAAGACCTGGGCACGTGAAAACAAGCATTTCACTTGAGAGATCCTCTGACTTCTGGTCCTCGGGGGAGGACAATATAGAACACAAAACAAGCGTTTCGCTCGAGACATCCTCAATAAATTCTGAAAACAAGCGTTTCGCTCGAGACATCCTCAACGAACTTGACACGTTCCGTCCTGGGGCACTGGGGAGGCCTCCTGGGGCCTCCTGGGGCGGCCTCTGAAGCATTAGGAACCCACGTGTTGTCCCGCTTGTCCCGCTCTGAGGCGTTAGGAGACCACATGTTTTCACGCTTTTCCCGCTCTGAGGCGTTAGGAGACCACGCGTTTTCACGTCTGTCCAATTCTCGGGCGTTAGGAACCCACGTGTGATCACGCTTGACCCGCCCTGTGGCGTTCGGAACCCACGTGTTTTCACGCTTGTCCCGCCCTGTGGCGTCAGGAACCCACGTGTTTTCACGCTTGTCCCGCCCTGGGGCGTTAGGAACCCATGTGTTTACACGTTCGTCCCGCCCTGGGGCGTTAGGAACCAACGTATTTTCACGTGTCGCTGCCACCCATGGGGGATAGCTAGCATGCGGTCGGCTGGGCCCCCAACAGTGGGGGGAGGCACAAAAGCAATAACAAATAAACGAATCGACACCAATTGTGTAATAACTTGACACGTTCCGTCCTGGGGCCCTGGGAAGGCCTCCTGGGGCCTCCTGGGGCGGCCTCTGAAGCATTAGGAACCCACGTGTTGTCCCGCTGGTCCCGCTCTGAGGCGTTAGGAGACCACGTGTTTTCACGCTTGTCCCGCTCCGACGCGTTAGGAGTCCACGCGTTTTCAGGCTTGTCCCGTTCTCGGGCGTTAGGAACCCATGTGTTTTCACGCTTGGCACGCGCTGTGGCGTTCGGAACCCATGTGTTTTCACGCATGTCCCGCAAATTAGGAACCCACGTGTTTTCACGCTTGACCCGCCCTGGGGCATTAGGAACCTACGTATTTTCACGTGTCTGAGCCACCCAATGGGAAATATCTAATTAGCATGTAGTCCTCTGGGCACCCCAAAGTGGAGGGGGGGGAGCACAAAAGGCAACAAACAATCAATGAGTCGGCACCAAATGTATAATAACTTGACACGTTCCGTCCTGGGGCCCTGGGGAGGCCTCCTGGGGCCTCCTGGGGCCTGGACACCTGAAAAATGTGGTTCCAGCTCGGGATCACCGTGTTAGATACCCCCTGCTCGGCTTGGACATGTGAAAACATATGGTTCCAGCTCGGGACCACCGTGTTAGATACCTACCTGGGTGGCCTGGACAAGTGAAAACACATGGTTCCAGCGAGGGGCCACCCTGTTAGATATCCCCCCTGGGAGGCCTGGATACGTGAAAACACGTGGTTCCAGCTCGGGACCACCATGATAGATACCCCCTGCTCGGCCTGGACACTTAAAAACACATGGCTCCAGCTCGGGACCACCATATTAGATACCAACCTGGGTGTGGCCGTGACACGTGAGAACACGTGGTTCCCACTCGTACGGAATGCTCTTCTTCGAACAAAATGTGTCCCGCACCCTGTGATTTATCGATCGGGATGTCAAACATCATCGTTTCGCTATGGACATCCTCAAAAGCTTAATTCGCCGGCCCTAGGCGACCTCGTTATCTATCGCAAAAGAAATTCGCCGGCCCTACAGCCGTCAAAACCGGGGGGAACCCTACTAAAAGAGAACCCTGGGCCCACGCCCTTTCGGGGAAAAGCGAGAACGCCTAAATCCAAAACACTCGGAAAACGAGCGAATCTTGCCCCGGGGGGGCCCTCTTGGGGAGCCTCTTGAGTCCGTCCTGGAGCGTGTTGGAGTCCTCCTCGGCCGTCTTGAGGGCATCTTGGGCGTCTTTGGGGCCTCTTGGGACCGTCTAGGGGTTGTCTGGGGAGCATCCTGGGCCGTCTTGGGGCTCTCTTCCGGGCCTCGTGGGCCTTCGTGGAGCGATCTGAAGAGCCTCCGAGGCCGTGAGGGAGCGCTGGAAAGCGGAAACATGATCGACCCACGAACCCGGAAAGGAATATAGAAATGTAAGGCATGGCAACGTTTCAAAGACACCTGAGTGGGCGACGGGCAAATGCAATGCTGAATGTATCAATCTTGAGGGCATCTTGGGCGTCTTCGGGGCCTCGTGGGACCGTCTGGGGCCCTCTCGGGACCCCCTTAGCCTGTCGTAGCCTTCTTCGGGGCGGGCTCGGGCCGCCTCGGGAGCTCTGGACCCCTCCCGCAACCCCGGGTGGGCACCGATGGGGGGAACAGGCAGCGGCCCGCCCCCCCTCCCCCCCCGGGCCTACTCCGAGATAGAGAATCATGTTCCCAGGAAGCTTTCCGGGAGCATGATTTGTTCGGCTCTCTAAGAGGGGAGGTCTCTGGGGGCTTACCGAGGGGCGCCTTTTGGCCTTGTCGGCAAGCCTATTGGAAACATAGTTGGGGCGGTGGGCGGAAGCCCAAGGAATCATGTTCCTGGAAAGCTATCTGGGAAATACGATTCACCGAAGTGTCTTGGGTGCCCGCAGGGTGCTTCCCTGGGGGCCCCTCGGGGGCCTCTTGGGGCTTCTGGGGGGCCTCTTGGGAGCCTCACGGGGCTTCTTGGGAGCCTCTTGATGGCCTCCGGGGGCGTCCTGACCTTGAAATGTCGCGCTCTTCGGGCCATCTTGGGTCGCTCTTAGGGCTCTCTTGGGGCGCTCTCGAGGCCCTCTTGATTTATCTGGGGAGCCTCCTGGGCCGTCTCTGGGCTTTCTTGGGAGACTCTTCGGCCGTCTTGGAGCGATCTGAGGGGCCTCTGACGCTGTCCGGGACCGTGGGGAGGCGAAACATGGGAGAGCGCAAGAATGCTTCAAAAACCATTGGAAAATTCATGATTTTCGGCTTCTGGGGCCCTTTGACCTCTGGAGGCGCTCTTCGGGCGTTTTGGCGGCGTCGTCGGGCGTCCTGAAGCCATCCTCGGCGTGTCCAGGGCCTCTGGGGGCTGCCTTTGGGCGTCCTGGGAATCCGGAAATCATGTTCCCAGAGAGGCTTCCGGGAACATGATTTCGAACGAGGCCCTCTTGGGCCTCCCTGAGGCAGTCTTGGGGACCTCCTGGGCCGGCTTCGGGGCCCCTTGGGCCGTCTTGGGAGGTTCCGTGAGCCCCACAGGCCGACCCTTTTGGGCCGTGTTGGGCCCTCTTGGGTCTCTCTTGGG